GCATCAAGTTCTCCCCAAAAATGAGCCTTAAATCGCCCCTCTCAAGCGGACTTTGATTCCATTCCTTTCGGGCGCTCATAATTTGCGAGTGCCGAAGCTTAAAAGGCTACAAATAGTTGCTCGATCTTTCCCCGTAGCATCTTCTCCTAAGGAAGATCTGGAAGCTGCAAATTTTAAACACGTACTCGCAACTTGTACCTTCCGGCTGGATAAATCAACGCCAGTCATGATAACGACAGTAATGGTATGAAGAAGCGGAGCCAGCGTGGGAGGGCTCGACGGCACAGCGGAGCGGGGATGCGCACGGCGCCGTCTGCATCGTCACGACACAAACAAGAACCGTAACTTTTAACCGGACGCACGGAAGCCACAGCTTCCGCAGAATCTTCCAGAGGCCCCTTCCTAGGCGTGGTGTCCTCAACGTGGACGGACACGGGTACCACTGCACGCTCGTGACTTGGCGGATGCCCCTGTTTCGGTACGGTGTTGGAAGAATATGAATGCGCGAGAGCCGCCGCTCGACCGTGCGACACCCGAAGCCACTGCTGTGGGTTAGATTCTTGACTCAGGAACCACTGTTCGATTAAGGAGGAGCATGTTGCGGAGTTGAACACCACGCGAAAAGGGCCATCGCACACTTCGGGGGTATGATGAGTCTTGGGATCGGAATACATGACGGCAACATGCTGCCACGTACTGGCAGGGCAATCAAGGACTGCTAGTACCGCTTCAACATCGATGTCAAGTGGCTGCGAAGTACGGTTCAGCCGATCAATGTCGGTTCGATTCCGCGCTAGCCACGGCATCCCAAAAATACAGTCAAAGGATCCACTTAAGCCAATTGAATTGAAATTTATCACTACTGGTAAAAGTATCGAGCGGTATGAGAACACCAACGAACATTTCCGGTGCGTGCGAGGCTTGTTGTCTGCATACTGAACAACCCCCTCCACCGGAGACTCTTGTACACGCAACCGTGAGGGGAGGATCGACAGACTGTCGGCACGGACAAAAAATTTCGTCGCGCCGGAGTCCAGCAAAGCGCGACGTGGACGCGACGCACCAATAAAGTGAACACTGAGCACAATCAAACGCGGATTATTGCTGGACTTCATGGCATTAAGCTGTTCATAATGCATAGCGGGGATAGGAAAACGTGCCGCCACCTTAAGTACGTTCTTCCGCCTTCGCCCAGTAGGACATCCCGCGCCTACTGATTCTCGCCGTTTTTACGACAGCGGAAGCAGATCAGGTTCTTCGCTGCCGCAGGACTCCGAGAATTATGACTGGAAGCACGCCGATGACCTGGGGCGTGCTCGATCGCATCGAGCTTCATTGGCTCAGGCTTCTAGGCGGCGCGTAGGGGAAGCGAGTGATCCACTTGCGAAGCCAAGACGCTGAAGTTTTCACGCGGCGCAATGCGGAACGCTTCTTCAAAGAAAGCATGAGACTTCTGCGTTAAGTACCAAGCTGTGATGCCCAGCATTCATCTCGGGCACGAACATATGGACTTGTGTCACAGTGTCGATAGGGTCGGCGACTATGCACGATGCCAGATGTCGCGCACGTTGGATGTAGTTCATCATTGACAGACTACCCTGTCGCAACGCAAGAAATGCGGAGCGATTGTGGTACTCGTCTTGCGGAGGCTCAAACGCCAACCGCAAGTCGTCCTTTAGGTCCTGCATGTCCGGGAAACATCCTGGATTGGCAATTAACTTCTTAAATGCCCACTCGTTTGCCTTACCAGTCAACTTAGACAGGAGAAAGTGGGTTCGCGTGAACTCCGTCGCTAATTGGCGGGATAAGACAGAGATTTCCACTTTCTAAATTCAGCGATTGAGCGCGAGGCGCTCTGGACACTCGCCGCTGTAGCTCGAAACGTCGAGTTTAATGACGTTAGACCCCGTGACAACTGCGAAAGTTGAAGCTTTCCGGCGTAATTCGGCGAGCTCTCGGTTGACGTAGTCTTGGATGGCTACACGTTGGAGCCACTCAGGCGTATCTTTGAGTATGGCACCTACGGTAGTAAGGCCGGCCAAGTCGGCCAGGCGACGCAGAGATTCCCACTCGAAGGGAATCAGATGTTCGAATTCATCGCGTTACAACACCCCCCCCCCTCCCACTAGCGCCCTGTATCGGCGGACATCTATTTTAGTTGGAAAGACTAAGAAGTGCTATCAGGTGTAACGGGGCTAGATCTCCTTTACTTGCACAACACTATAGGTCTTACGAGGAAGCGTAATGGATCACGCAGAACTAGCGTGCTAAGGTAAATTACAGCTCTTACTTTTATATATTTGCTTTTGTACTAAGTATTAGTGATCTCTAAACGCATTAGAACCACTCAACTACAGATCTTTCTCCTATTGGCTTTTAATATGACTGATTTTCCCTTTTCTACTAATAAAGATACGAATGGCTACACCCGCTATCTTGGATGTAGCATATCACTACTTATGTAATATGGATTTAAAATCTGGCTAGTTGTGTAACGGTACACCTTGTTACATTTAATGCTTGAGCTTTAGTCTTCCTCAAGAGCACGTGTAATTTAGTAACGGTCGTTTTAGCCTCATTAAACCTGGTAAAACTCAGTAGTCTTTCCCATGCCTGAGTTTGGGATGAGCTGATCTTCGATATTTAACGCTCCAGATTTTTTTTATGGAACGCGAACTTCCCCCATCTCACTGGTATTTAGTAAGATACCCTTTATCGCTCGAAACGATATTATACGATGCGTTCGTCTCGTCGCTAATAAGATCAGCGACCCTTGATGGGCAACGTCCTGCCATACATGAGTTTATGACTCGCGAGCTCGCCAAATCTAATCGGCGAGATTTTATATCTTCCGGCATTAACGGACAATTCCGTGAAGATGAAAATCTCTTTATACTTAGGAAAAGATTGGGATCGATTGTCGCTTAATCGATTATTCCGAGAATTCGATATCGCCATAGCCTCGACGCTTCTCGAGGCGCCCCGGCGAAGGCCAGCTTCCTATTTTCCCGCATCACCGGGGGAGATAAGGAATGGGCCCTTGGTAAGCTCGTTGGGGACGAGCACGAGTTCCTTCCCTATAATTCATTTAGAAAGACCTTCTATTCGCCTTCGAGCCACCGTAAGAGGAGAAATTGTACACTTAAGGTTCCTATATGTGCGACAGGGTAAAATGCTGATGCGCGATTACGTGCATTGGATCGGAAACTGGCGTCGTGTACTATCATGAATCCTAAAAACATGTACACGTAGGTAAATGTCTTTGAAAATGATATGCGTGAGGAGCATACCCGATTATCGCTCGAGCGCGCGGAGCCTGCCACATTGGAGGAGGCATTTGCTATTGCACTCCGTGAGGACTTAAGGGTCACAAGGCCTACGTCAATCACTCAGTTGTCACCGTTCCCCGGCCTTCTGGATCAAAATTTATGGAGATCAACGTGATTGAGTCTTCGGGTGACCGTCGACGTGTCACTCCCCATAAGGGAGACGCTGGCACCGGGCGTGAAATGTTTGCTTTCGCTGTCGCAAGTCGGGGAATCGCGCGGCTAAGTATCGCGCGCCAGCGCCGATGTCGCTACGGCCATCATGAAGGTGCTTCCTCGGCCGCACGTCCAAAAAATGGTCGGGACCAGTAGGTGCAGGGCGTCCTACTAGTTGGAAGGAAGGTCCGGGTCAAGCCCACCCCTCCTGTACTGCGTGCACGATCAAGTTCCACCACTACGAATTGTGATTTACGTCTAATTACTGTCAGTTTACATGTCGTCGGAGTCCGGCAACCTCCTGGACTCAAAAGAGACGAATAATTTTTTTCGCGAATCTTGTTTATCGATGCTGCCTCCCAGCATTCAGGTCCGTGAGAGACCTGGCCAAGTCGTCGTCAAGTTAGCTGACGGGAAACCACACCGCGTATCGCGGCGCGAAGGGTCGTTGCCCTACACGTTTGATGGTTTTCGCAATAATGATGATTCTTTGGTGATCGCGATGAATTATGCATTCAGTTGCATACTGGGCATGCCATGGTTGGCACGTTATAAGCCCCAGATCGACTGGTTAGCCAGATCAGTGAGACGTCGACGCAAGTTCAATGTCAGTGAAGTGTTTACCCATCTCTTGGTATTTCCAAGTGACTGGCCGAGCGTCATAGTCGTGGATCGTGATTCCACGACGCTAGCGGTGCACAGAGCGAGTGATGGCCTTCTCTGCACTGCTTGTGATGTTCTTCTGGACACAAGTGACAGAAAAGTCTAGCTTCAAAACGAGGAGAACGACACGGATAAGCAGTGGCTCCCGCACGAAAGCGACGCGTCGAAAAGAGTCTACGCATATAAATAACGTGGTTGAACAAGGGATCCCTGACAAAAATAAGGATGATGAATAAGAATTATCATCTGCAACCATTGTGATAGAGCAGGGGCTGTAACGGAAAAACCCATTTCAAAAGTAGTTATAGAATATATACATGATTACATAAGTAGGTAGAGAGCAGTATTCTTTTATAAGCGAATACTGCGCGTCATTTTATTATTAATTTATTTATAATGAGGTGTCAGACCCAATAATTAGCCAATAATAAATTGACTTCCATTGGAGTGTTCCCATGAGCTTGAGAGAATATTCACACTTACTGCGAATGAAACGAAATAAAAATAAAACAGAGTTATATTTACGAGTTAACTAATAGCGATTCATCAACGCTCTTTCTGTGTAAGACGGTAACAGGCACTAATCCCTATACATCTGGTCATTGTAGTCCTTTCATGACCAGATCAAAATGATTATGGACGAGTCTTAGGTGGCTCCAGCGGTATCGGTGGAGTGGCAGGCACTACACTGCCTCGCAACGGTGTCTGGTGAAACTATTGTGACGTCGCTGCTGAGCACAGCGACGTCTGATGATTAACGTGCCGCCATCCAAAGACTTTATGGTGCGCCAGCTCGCCGAAGCGAATCGGCGAGTATTGACTCCCTCGCGCACTTCGCACCATGATGCTATCAAGATGGAGACGTCAATGTACTCCGGTGATGGTCCGGATCGTCTCCCCCTTAATCGCTGGTTTCGCGAGGTGGATATTGCAATAGCGTCAAGATTAATTGACGCTCCGACGACCAAAGTCAATTTCCTGTTGTCTCGTCTTGCTGGCAAAGCCAAGGAATGGGCTCTCGGGAAGCTCGTCGTATATAAGTCGGCGTTCCCCACGCTAGACGATATCCAGCGTGACTTACAACTGGATTTCGAGTCTTCTCAAGATGAATCTCGCTTGCGTGCAGATTTCTTCTCACTCCGACAGGGCAAGCTGTCAATGCGTGACTACGTGCAGAAGACACGTCATATTGCTTCGTGCATTACCACGCAGCCAATTGACATGGCTTCACAAGTCCATGTCTTTATTTTTAGTATGCAAGAGGGCATGACGAGCTACTCCCTCACGCGTGCTGAACTAAAGTCCCTTGAGGAGGCATTTGCCCTCGCGCTTCGTGAGGATTACACTGTCGCGTCGTCGTACTGCACGCAGCGTCACAACATCCCCGGACGTCTGGCCCAGAGCCAGTGGAAATAGATTCAATTGAGTCCTATCGTGGTCGTGGCAAATCATTAGACCGCGACATCTGCAATACTAACACGATGAAGTGTTTTCGTTGTGGTAAAACAGGCCATCGTGCGGCTGTCTATCTTGCACCTGCGCCGGTGACGATGAACACAGCTGTCTCCCGAGTGGCTGTGTCGTCGGTGGTCCCGCCAAAATAACGAGCGGTTCCAGTAGGCGTGGGGCGCCTTACTGGCTGAAATGGAGCCCCGAGTACTCAGGTGGCAGCTCGGGATCCTAGCTTAAAGTGATTCATACCCACTTCAATGCCACCACCATGCGCGATGATTCGAGACTGATTATTATCAGTCTCATCGTCGCTGGAGTGAAGCGACCACTTCGAGCGTTGTTGGATTCTGGCGCTTCCAACAACTTCTTTCGTGCATCCTGTTTGTCCCTTCTCCCGTCGACTGTCACGGTTCGAGAAGGTCCAGGTGGCATCGTTGTCAAACTTGCCGATAACAAACCAAAACGTGTCCCGCGTAAAACAGTGGTTTTACCGTACACTTTCGACGGTTTCCAGAGCAACGACGAATTTTGGTGTACAAGATGAACTATGCATTTGATTGCATACTTGGGATACCGTCGCTGTCACGGTATCAGCCGAAGATAGATTGGCTATTTCGGTTCGTCAAACGAAGAAGCGGATATGACGTCAGTGAAGTGTTTATTCATTTGTTGGTCGCGTCATCCGATTGGCCTCACGTCAGGGTCGTGAACGAACTCTATACGACTATTATTAAACACAGAGATAGCGATGGCCCTCTGTGCGCAGTATGTTCCGTTACACTGATGGAGCCACAGAACGAGGCGGTCGAACAGCGGTTCCCGCATACACAGACATCGTTCGAACAGGGGTTCCCGATTCTCAACGAGGCGGTCGAGCAGCGGTTCCCGCATACACAAACATTGGTCATACAGGTGTTCCAGATTCACAAAGATGCGGTTGAACAGCGGTTCCGCACATACAGACATCGGACGAGCAGAAGCTCTCGATCAATATCGAGGCGGTCGAGCATGGGCTCCCGCATACAATCACATCGGACGAGCAGCGGCTCCCGATCAATATCAAAGCAGTTGAGCAGGACCTCCCGCAAACAATTGAGGCGGTCGAAGACGAGCTCCCGCCTTTAATTGACGAGAATGAGCAGACTATGGATTCGCATGAGACCGACGTGGTGGAGACAGAGGTCCCACGTCTAGAGGGGGGGTACATCATCCTCTTAAGATAGCGACGTCCCATTCTTGATCAGGGGCTCGAGACGCAAGGGATAACGCAAGAAGGAGCACGCCGATCAACGGGACATCGACATTTACTTTAATGCTGACGCAGATGATTCCGTAGTGACGGAATCCGTATGCGCGCTTGAATATGTGGAGGGATCCCCACATCGTGGCCGCTACATTGAGGTAGCGAGTCCACCGTGCACTGCTGCAGATATCACATCTCTGCCAGACCTTTCATGGAAAGAATTCCTTCACGACCTCAAGGCCAGCGACATCGAACAAGTGTGCGTCGTTTTAGCCGTTGAAGCATCCAGTAAAGAAGTTCTGGAGGCTCGCCCGAAGAGCGTCGAGCCTAAATCATCGCGCGAAGAACGCTTCGCGACACAGTCTTACGATGCTCTTTGAGCTTCAGGCAACCCTGTCTACGAAATCGCCCATGAGCACGCCGATTTTTTCCGGGAAATGTGATGTGCGGCACGAGATAGATTTCGTGCCAGGATCAAAACATTGCGTGACACGGCAGTGGCCGTTATCGCGCGACCAAGTCATCGCTATTGATGAATTGTTCGAGGGTCGCCGCAAGGCTGGCCATGCCCGCGAGAGTATCTCGCCACATTCGAGCCCGACTTTCTATGTGAAGAAAGCCACCGGCGATTGGCGCATTGTGCACGCCTTCAACAAGCTGAATGACGCCACTATATCGCTCAAACGCCTATCCCTCGAAAAGACATGTTATTAAATAACATGTCCGGTAGCGAGATCTACAGCGCCATAGATCTGACAGACGGTTTCTATTAGATCCTCATATGGGGATAGTGACATTCCATTCACTGCGGTCAGCACCCAAGCGGGATGCTTTGGGAGTGACTAATCATGCCACAAGGTCTTAAGAACGCTCCAGCTACGTTCAATCGGATGGTGATACAAGTATTTCGTCCACTTCGCGATTTTGCACCGAGCTACTTGGACGACATTTTTGTTCACAGCCGCGCTGATCAAAAGCTCAGCGCTACGAAGGTACACCTTCGACACTTGAAGCAGGTGTTTCAAGTTATGCGCGAGAATAAATTATATGCGAATTTGAAGAAATGTGTCTTCTGCGCTCCCGAGATTCCAGTACTCTGTGACGAAGTACAAGATGTCGTGTCCCTGATTCTAGGTGGGAAATCGAACAGTTAGTCGTATGATGCTGGGACGCATCGTTACAGTTGACAGTTGAGGTATACCTGTTGGTATCTACTGTAGTCTAGTCTAACAGAGGGGGTTGTCACCTACGAGGTTTTTCCCTCCTCAATCCCAAAGTTGCTCAGTGGAAAGCAAGTGTTCCGTGTTCTCTATTCCCTACTCTGTATTACTGTATTACAGGACCAACGACACTCACCTGCGCAGTGATAAGTGTGACAGGTTATGAGCCCAAGTCTTCTTGCACTGTCCAAGTAACATATTAACCCAATGTCTGGAGTAAGTGAGATGTCGTCAAACGATACAGCCACTAATGATGTGTTGACAAGCGTGAGTAATGGTGCGACCGCTGTGAGTACTGTGACGTCTGGTATTGCACTTAGTGGGTTGAGTGGGGAGTTTACCACCGCAACCGCGCCACCGGCTATCCCATTACCTGGGTCAGGATTTCCAGCGGGAAGGCCTAATGCGGGTGGTTCATTACCTGGAGCTGGTGGGATACTTGCCCCTATGCCTGAAGTGCATCAAGTACCTGACGGTGGATTTGGCATGAAGCTAGACAATAAACCGCCGATCATGCATGGGAGTTTTGATCTGTATGCGGTTGAGCTGGAAACGTTCTTACGCCGCATTCATGTGTGGGGTGTAATTGACAACGAGTCGGTTGTACGAGCTTCGACAACAATTACACAGTTTGCGTTGATGGATAATGTTGCTCGTGGTGCTATACTGCATGGTATTCCAACAGCCGATGCTGAGCTTGTCTGTCACGAGGCAAGCGCTCACGCGATGTGGTCGCGCTTTGTCGATAAGCAAACCAAGAGAGAGTATGCGAATTACATCTTTGCACGACAACTACTGTATGCAAACAAGTATACGCATGACAGAAATATAAATGATTGGCTACGTGAGATGGAACTTCAGCGGAATGAGCTGCAACATTACCAAAAAGTACTCTCTGATGAAGAGTTCGCCGAGATTATTATGAGCAATGTGTTGCAGACACATCGTGAGGTTTTTAGGCAATTTTCTAAGCATTACGACCCTGGGATTCAGCGTTTGGCTCCGTCGTCGGCACAAGTGATGAATGCTCTTCGAGCAGAATCGGAGTTGGATGCCCGAAGTAACGAAACCCAACTACCCAATATTTGTGCTGCTCAACCTGCGAAGGAACCAAACAAACGGCTACAAAGACACTATCAGCAACCCTGGAAAGAGAAGCGACGAGGGCGAAGTCAATATAAGGCCCATGGCAGCAACCATTACCAGAAGTCGGGTGGTGGTAGTGGCAAGGCTTTAACAGGAAAGAAGTATTATGGAGACAATCGTGAATGCTGGAACTGTCATGTAAAGGGCCATATCCAGCGAGATTGCACACGACCGAAGTACGCCATAGATGAGTCCAAGTCGCAGCTCCCGGAGCGTAAACGCTGGGAAAATAGAAAGCAGAGTAAAGGCCAGTTTGGGAACAGAAGAGAAGTTGCCATGCTGTCGCGTCAAGCGGATGAAACGATCAATGCTGTTAAGAACGATACAAGTGATATGACCATTGAATGGGTCCTTGATTCAGCAAGTGATTGTCATGTATGCACGAAGAAGGAGATTCTGATGAATTTGCGATTCAATGGTGGACCGATGGTGTTTGACTGGGAAGGCAAAGCTTCCCAATTTACAGAAGAGATTGGGGAAGTGGAACTTAGAGTAAGGAATGAGACTCCCCCTCATGCTATGAATTCCCTTTCTTTATCGAACGTCCTTTGCACACCGACTGGAACAACAAATTTGTTGAGCTTGGATAGGCTGGAACAAGATGGATGGGACTTTCTCAAGTTCAAGCAACAGCAATGCGCTTGGCTGAAAAAAGGTAATTTGCTACTGCAATTAGTGAAAAAACATGGTCGTTATCGCCTCATATCCTTCGCTGTCCCGGTGAGCCAAGTGAAGTCCCTTTCACATGCTAATGAGCGAGTTTTCGCGTTATGGCATACCCGCCTTGGTCACATAAATTATGGGGCCTTGCAGCGGATGATACGAAACAATACAGTGCATGGTTTGGCTATGACTGGGAACGTTCGTACCCCGAGAAACCGATGCTGGACATGTATCCAATCACGTATGCAGCGAATGTCCTACAAAAACTTAGTAACTACACGGTCGACAGTACCATATCAGAAGCTAATGTCTGATATGTGCTACATTGGTGTGGGTACGTATGACGGGTATAAACACTTCCAGCTCATTCAAGATGAGGCAACACGTTACGTATGGGGTTTTTTACTCAAAGAAAAACGAGAGGCTACGACAGTCGTAATTTCTCATTTGGCATGGCTTATGGCACAAGGCCATCACATTCAAGTATTTCCACTTACCAAGGAAGGGAACTTGTGAACCGACAATTGAAACAGTTCCTTCGCCAACACGGAGTGGACTTTTTATGGACTAATGCATATAGCCCAGAGGAGAATGGCTTAGTTGAACGGATGAACGGCATCGTGATGTCCCGTGTACGCAGTTTGCTTACAACGGTGGACATGCCGGATCTGTTATGGGGCGATGCATTTACATTTGCGTTGGAGATATTAAATATCATACTCAGTGAAGCTTTGGATGGTGACACACCATATACTCGACGTTTTGGAAAACGTCCTGATTTATCAAATGTCCGGATATGGGGTTGTTTAGTGTTCGTATTTACTCAGAAGATTGTACGGAAAACTAAATTAGAAAATCCCGGTAAACCGGCGATCTTTCTTGGCTACGCGAAGAATTCGATCAGTTAGCGTATTTTGATTGCGCGTTCGGGAACTATTCAAGAGTTGCGCACTGTACAGTTTGTGGAGGCTTGGACAATTGACCGGGCATATATCGACAGGCTGCTCTTAAATCGGTATTGTCATGGCAAGTTTACCCTATCTACCACGATCCCGTATGTTCGCGTGGAAGGTTTTTTCACTGCATCGAGTAGTGCATTGGCTTTAGGATCGCCAAGTAACATAGTACATCGTAAGAAGAGGTGTTGTCGTCATGACTGTAACAGTCGTGGTGGCTTGGTATCAGTAGATGATGCTCCAAACGTTGGCGTGCCAGCATGGGCTGGGGGACCTGGAAGCGTATTGTTGAGCGAAAATCCGACGAGATTAGCAAGGGCTAATGCTCGGTCGTCACGTCCACGAGCGGCAAGTCCAGCAGAGGCTGAGATGGGGTCGTGTCGTGATCGCACGGCAAGTCCAGCACAGGCTGAGATGGGGTCGTGTCGTGATCGAACGGCAAGTCCAGCAGAGGCTGCAATGGGGTCGTGTCGTGATCGCACGGCAAGTCCAGCACAGGCTGAGATGGGGTCGTGTCGTGATCGAACGGCAAGTCCAGCACAGGCTGAGATGGGGTCGTGTCGTGATCGAACGGCAAGTCCAGCACAGGCTGAGATGGGGTCGTGTCGTGAGCGAACGGCAAGTCCAGCACAGGCTGAGATGGGGTCGTATCGTTATCGTGGTCTAGCTGGATACAGTCCCGATTGGTATCGCATCGTCACTGATGGAGGAGAAGGCGGCAGAGAAGGTGGCATGGACTTGTCTAACCGCAGTATGCCTGCCCCTTGTCGTAACACGGGAGATCGGTCTAACCGCCGAGGCTCTGTGCCTTCGACTTGTCTGCCAGCTCTCAGTGCTGACGATGATTACCTGGGCATGAGTGATATGGGACAGACTCCCACACTTTTTGAGGAAGAAGAAGCAGAAGAAAAAAGACCTGTTATTGTTAGACCCGGTGAAATGAAAGCTGGAAATGACCCTGAGGCGGCTTTTCGGCGGTCTACCCGAGTACGACGACAAAATGTACGTCTATCGGATAATGAACTGAATATTTCTGCAGCCCTAGTCATTCAAGCAGTGAATGAACTGCTTGAGCCCATGTCCGTTACCGAAGCTTTGAGTGCCCCTGATGCAAAGCAATGGATAAAAGCTCTTGAGACTGAGTATGACGAATTGATGCGTAATCACGTATGGGAGCTAGTGGATCGGCCTTCGGGGGTAAAGATTCTAAAGAATAAGTGGATATTTGTGCGCAAACGAAATGCGCAAGGCGACGTGTGCCGGTATCGCACGCGAATTACGATTAAGGGATGCCAGCAAGAGTTTGGTGTCAACTTTTGGGAGACCTACGCTCCAGTAGCGAAGGCTGAGTCCGTGAAATTTGTTTTGCTTCTCGCTCTGTTCTTGGGCCTGCCTTGTCGCCAAATTGATTTTGTGACAGCATTTTTGAATGGGCCTCTCGATGATGTAGATATCTATATGGAACAGCCCGATTACTTTAATGATGGTTCTGGTCGCGTTTGCAAGCTGTTACAAAGTCTATATGGATTACGTCAAGCACCTCGTATCTGATACAAAATGCTGGATGAATATTTAAGGAAGTGCGGGTTTCGACGTACGAAAATGGATGCAGGTGTATATGTGCGAACAGTGGGAGAGAACAAAGTCTACATTACCGTATATGTGGATGATCTCTTAATTGTGGGAACGGAATCCGACATTGAGATGGTTTTAGTACAGCTGCGAAGCA